GTTCCAGGGGACCAAGGGGGCCTTTGGGGTAAATTTTTTTCTTCCCGAAACTTTTTTCGCCCCCCCCCCCCCCCCGAAGGACGATGGCCAGTTTCTGGTTCATGCTCATGAAACATGGTCTGGGCCGGCGAAAACTCGACATATCGCTCCGTCCCAGCATTGTAGGGATGCAAGTTCTATCGACAACGGCATGCGTTTACATGTAGTGCACCCCCACCGCACGCGCGCGATGCCATATTTCCCCCCTCGGTAGGCGACACATACGGTGTCCCCGAAGACTTCATCGGCGTCGGCGTTGTGATTTCGCCCCGCCCCCCCTCGGATTTGTCGGACATTTCGGGTGCCCCCATCCGTGCTCCGGGTCCACGACAGTGAGTGCGAGGAGAATTGTTGTGTTGTCTCTGTTGCGGTTGCAACGGGCATCATTTGATGGGGTAGAAGACAAGGTGTTCGGTGGAGCAGGGTAGTACAGGGCTTGCCGACCTCTCTCTTGCAGTTTTTGTTGTCCCGGTCTTTCTTATTGACGCTGAGAGTCCTTGTGCGTTTACGAGGATGCTTATGTTTCTTGTGAAGCGCGCCCAAGCTGTTGCTACTCCTGTGATGGCGTGATATGTCGTTTGAACCCCGTTTTGACCTCTACGATCCTGACATGCCTCCACACAACCTTGTAACAATCCAACGGCCCACCATATGCCAGTAGACGTCGTACACCGCATGCCACATGGATCCTCGTTAGCCGCTTCTGACTGTGTGCCTTCTTCGCTGGGCTTTATAGAAGCCGAAATCAAACCATAAGTGGTTTAATTTCGGCTTCTATAAGAGTTAGTCGTGGGTTCGAGACCCAGGCTGAACACTTTGAAGTGGTTTTTTTCCTGAGACCCTGGATACTCTCGGCCAGAGTATGGGTGACGGAAGGATTCGTGGACCCTGGAACATTCTGCAGGATGTGGGTGGCGAGTGATATGAAGCGAAATAAAGATTGGACGGATAGTAGCGCTGGCAAGGGGAGTCACCCTCCTCGGAAGTGAAAGTGACGGAGCTCACGAACCCCACGACTAAACCCCGAGAGCCAACGGCATCCTGCACCATTCCTACCACGGCAATACATACGCACGTCGGAGGGATGGTACTCCCCCACAGCTGCTGATCCATCCCCCCTCTTTTAGTACGAATTGCAGCAGTGAAAGCAACAATACCAACAACAGTAGCAGCAGGAGCAGCAGCAGAAAGCAACAATACCAACAACAGCAGCAGCAGCAGCCGCAGCACGCCGCCTTGCAACCCTCTTGATGAACCTATAATCCTTGTCTTGGAAAAGGTTCGTGTCCTTCATCGCCAACAACGGGACGAGGACAACGGAGGACGTGCGCATGGCTGCCAACAGCTGCGCCTCGACTCTCCGCTACTACCAGGGCAGGGACGACTTCAACTTCCTCAAGATGTCCCGCATTCGCCTGGGCTATTACGATGGGGAGATCAGCCTCGAGGTGCGTCAGGCGTTTTTTCCATGCAACGGGGTGGGTCGGTTGTCGCTTGCCTTTGCCGGGGGCTTTGCGTCCTGCTTTTTGAGACTGAGGTATTTTCGTTTTCATGGTTATGGTCGGCGCGGCCTCTGCTAGTTTGTGAGAACCGTATGAGCCGGTCGCCCCGGTGGCCTAGCGGGCAGCCTCGCAAACCTACAGCAGGTTGGTTCTGGGTTCGAAACTGTGTCTCTCCGTCTCTGTCTCTCTGTCTCTCTCTCTCTATCGCGATAGGGAGAGAGAGAGAGAACTATGGGCGATGTGGGGGTGGGAAACGACTAGAAATAAGAGTATACCCAGTACGAGGGAAAGGGACTGCTGGTCCCTTTTCGCAGCCACCGCCAGGGCAAGGTGGGACACAAGATGTACAAGACTGTCCCTGTGCTACCCAGCTCTCGGTGACACCAGCTGGTACGTCGAAAATGGCTAGCGCGCTAAGATCGATGGACGAAACCACGAACACCAACGACACACTCTCACGGGATCCCAGACCATGGCCTCTGGAAGCATTTTCTATTTTTTTGCCGCGCTGAGAGTGCCGCCTTTTCAGCGGTCAGCGCGGTCAGCGCTAATCGTAAAGACTCACACACACGAACACACAGGTGGACGCGCGCAACGTGGGAGTGTGGAGGAAGTGCATCACGACGAAGGTGACCGATATGCCGGAGGGGTGGCTGGACAGGGCGGGGGTGATCGTGGTGGGGGAGACGTCCAGGGAAGTGTCCAACAACCACGACGTCATGAGCCTCGAGGTACGGCAACAAGTGTGTTTTTTTTTCCAAGAAAACATAACGGAGTATTTGATTTCTTTTATTAGGAAGGTAGGTGCCCCATTTTTGGGGTAGTTGGCTTGTGACCACGGATGGCATCCGCATCAGTAGTATACGGACATTATAAGGTTTTGAGCGGAGACCGGAACGGTGTTTCGATGTGAAGACAACAACAACAACATACGATCACAGAAAGACTACCCGCTCGAGAAGTTGAAGGGGATGTGTGGGAAGTTTTTGCGGGACTGTTGTCGCACCATGGCGGAGGGTGGAATGATGGGGGGTTTCGACATCCACGGTCTCGGGAGGGAGGGGGGGGGGTTGAGAGGCAGCGGGGTTGTGATTGTGCCCCTCGTGTCTTGTTTCGCATGCGGATTGTTGTTGTCCTTGGAACGGCTTTGTGTCTTGAGGGCGGCAAGCGTTCGTTCAACGTGGGCTCTCTAGTGTTTCGTGAGGATTGTTTGCTCCCCTCAAAGTGGTAGGTGGTGTAGATAACCTCTCAAGCTCTCGGGACGAAAAACCACCACGGGATGAAAGCGCCCACCTCTCTTTCTTCCGCTCTAGCTCCCCCTCGACACGCCCCGCAAGTCCCCATCTCATCCATTATATAGTGTTACAACCGTGCGGGTAAGGTGTGTACCAGGCCGCTTCACCCGCCCCATTCATTGAAAGGTCCAACCGAGAAGACGTAAATAGGGTTTCGATGACTCCCCCCCCCCCACCCCCCCCACATAAACATAAGGGAAACCCCCCCCTTTTGGAAAAAAAGGAACCCCCGGGGGACCCCCAAAAAAACGAAGCCCTCCAACCCAAAAAAGGGGAAGGGGAACTGGAAGAAGAAAACCCCGAAACGGATTTTGGCGAACGCAAAAAAAAAACCATGGTCCCCTTTCAGGGCCCCCTCCAGCACAAATTTCAAGCGGGGAGGAAAAAAAAAAAGGGGAACGTTTTTTGATGTTTTTTTTTTGGGGGGAAGAAAAGGACACCTCCAGCCCCGGTTCCAAGCGGGGGGGAAAAACCAGGGGGGGGGGGGTTTTTTTGTTATTTTCAAAAAGGGGC